ATCACTGTACTTTTTGCCATAAATTAACATTTTCCTGTGATAATTTTCCCCTCCCCTTCTGAGTCTTTTGCCGTCTTTCTTATGGTGACCAGAGTTCACCTAGGAGGGATGAACTCACTGTCTCAGTCAAGCTTCTCTACATCAGCAGCTTTATCAGCTCCTGGTGACTCAGCATAACCTTTAGTATTCAGTAACATTACTGGGAAAGAAATAAATGCAATCCATCTGACCAGATTAGAGATTCTGCTAACTATTAAGATTGGAAAAGAGTTGAGAAATCCCTTTGAAATAATTTGCAGTATTTGTTTGTTCTTTTTTTTTTTCCCTAAAGCTCTTTAACACTTGAGCAGAGGCTACCTTCATATACATTTATTAATAGAATAAAAGATCCATTCAGTCATGCATGAAATGACATCTAGAAAGAGTGCAACAGAATGCACTCTTCCCATTTTGAACAACATAACTAATGCTTACTACTGCTTATGCTTTTCTATCTCCTTTTTAATTCTTGCAGTAGAATAGTGTTTGGTGCTGTAAAAACAGTTCTGAACATGATGTGATTAACCTTAGGGTCCCCCCATCTCAAAGCCCCCTCGTACACGGCCTATGCTTTCTATTCATGTTCAACAATCTGATTTCCATATCATCCTGCTCAGTCTCACAAGCAGCTATTAGCATAACAGAGCTTTAGTGTGACATTGATTGAAGCCAGCGCTTGCTGAATGCAGTATCAAAGCATAATTTGCCAGAAATCAAATCTAATTTACTGTGTATTATTTAAATTTCTCAAAAAAAAAAAAAAAAAAAGAAGAAAAGAAGTTTCAATGGAAGTATACTAGGTCTGTAGTCTTAATTGTTCTTTTTTCATATTTTTGTCTTGTCCCCTGGAATCCAAGCAATATATTTCCTTTTAGAGCCATTGTCTTTGAGTTTCAAATGTCAATTAAGCAAGAGTTTTTCCACTCTGTTTATTCCAATCCAGTTAATGTTACATCCAAAATGGTAAAGGGCAATAGTATGATAGGCACAACACTCAGTTTGCTGCTTCATAACAGTTTTTTCAACAGATTCTTCTAATGACCTTAATGTTTAGCTTGAATTAAGCATTAAAGTACCACATAACTTTAACAGCTGAAGCATATCAAGCCTGCTGTTATTTCTCTAACTGTACCTTTTCAGAACGTTTTAAAAATTCACCTACTTCAAGAGAAGCAATAATGGCTTGAATTAGGTTTTGCCCAACGTTCCACTGAAGCTGGTCTTTGGGGAAGTCATGATCTCAGTTAACCTTTCTGCAAAATGAGAGTAATAATATTTATCTATCTTTATAAACAGCATCTATATATGAAGATAATAAGCTCTATTTTTAGAAAAATTGAAGAGCCCAAGTGCTTATTCTGTCAAAGAAACCTTGCTGTCTCTGAGCACAGTCATGTTGCATTCTCTGGGGATAATGGCAGTCTTACTGCTTTGGTAGTTACACTTGACCAAGAATTACTCCTGCAACTCCTGTTACTTTCAGTCAATTTGCATTATTCAACTGGAAATTGATAAATAAAACTGGTATGGTAAAAAAGGTTGCTTAAATGCTGTAAACAAGGTCATTTTTATCAGAGGCTATCTATAAACAGAGCTATAGCTGAATATGACAACAAACTGAAACAAAATGGGGATTTCCTTCATTATAGAAACCTGTCTTTGAATAAATTGAAAAAACACATACAAGGTTTTATTTTTCCAAAAGGATGTTTTTCATGTTCTTTAAAATTATGATATTAAATAGTTTGGCTGAAGGAATTGGTTTTGTGCTCTAATTAACGTAGTAACCAATAAAAGTCTGCTTGTTGTGAGATCAAGAGTTTATATTTAAATAAAAGCTCTGATTCATTTATTTATTTTTATAGTTAATTTCTAGTAATTATGGCTGCAGGGAAAAGCTAGAAAAGATATCCTTGTATAACCATACATTGTTGCTTACTGGACTCTCCAGAGTCCAAACTAGTAGCTATGAGGCCATGGATCTTCTGTTCACCTGGCATGGCAAATGCTGGAGAGGACTTGGTGTATGGCAGGGAGAGGACAGAACAACAGGGTCAATCCATGTCATTTGGATTATCTGGACTGAGCTACAGCCTTAACTCCTGCTTCTTTTCCTTGTCTCCTTTTGCAAAAGAAAGGATCAGTTTTCTGCTCTTAGGAAAGGGAGACATGTTCAAAGTTAGGGGTAGGTCAAAAACTAAGAACCAGGTAGAAACTAGGACATTTATCTCTCATTGTTCCTTAACTGCCAAATTACCTTAATTTGGTCTGTGGAAAGTCTGCTACAGCAACAAGTTCAGTGCTATTACATCTGCTCAGAACTTTGAATTACTGACTTAAAGTACAGCCCTGTGTGTGTGACAATGTTTCGGATGAACCCTTAAACTTACCTACTTTGCATTTATTTGGTTATTTGATTTGAAAGATAGGCTCATGGAAATGCCATGCCCTTCTTCCTTCTGTTGAGCTGTCTCAGACCACCATCTGCATAACATACCCCCAGTTCGCGAAGCATGCCTATGAAGTGATCATAGGCATCGATCGTGCTTACGTATGATCTATGGGATGATCTCCTGACACCAGGTTTTTAGCGTCACAATAGAAAGATTATGGTCTCGAGGCCACCCATAACAGAGGATAGACATAGCACTCATGCATAGTTCCTGTCAAATGGAGATATAACACCTAAAAAGGTTAGAGGTTTTCTGCTCTCCCTTCTGCCTGAGGTTGCTATTGATTCTATATTAGTATCCTGGGCAATGAACTTCTATGGCTGAGCAGCAAACACTGAACTAATTGAGTGACCTTTATCAAGTGGGTGGTCAGAACTGTAGAGATATCTTACTGTAAGGTATGCCTATAGGAATGGAGGTTTCTACTTCACAGCTTAAAGGCCTTTCTCTCTTTCCCTTCCCATATGATTGAATGAACAAACACATGCGCTGATTACCACATTACTGCTTTCTGACACCTATAGGGATTGCATGCAAGTATGCTAGGTAAAACAAGGTGAGAGAAAGACAACTTGCTGCAGTCTCACACTTTAGGAATAGTACAGGATGAGTTCGGATGCTAGAGTATGTATAGCAACAGTTATGCTCTTACAGAAACCTCAAAATATATGGGTATAAATGGGCAGCAGCAGGGCACCTAGCCCTTCATCTCTGCCCTTTCAGAAGACTAACATCTGCTGAGGCCCGGGGAAGAGGTGGTCACTTCTCTCTCCAGAGAGTCCAAAACCTATGCTTAGGTGTGTGAGGCAGAAGGAAGACTCCTCTTGTTGTCCTCACCCTCTGCCTTCTAAATTGATGATGATTCATGCTTATTAAGTGCTTTGCAGTTCTTGTTTTAAGAATGCATTGAACCAGTGCTATTCAGCAGATCTGCTGATCTGTAAAGCCTTGGGAAGAACATCATGAGATAACTGTAAAGTGTGTTTCAAAAAAATCAGATCTGCATACCTTTCTATGCAGTTAGCAGATTTGTGTCTGTGCTGTCAGCAGGTGTAATCGGAAGCTGGGTCTTGATTGCTCTTCGTGCCTAATTAAATAGTTTGTAATTATAATGGTGAAAATATGGTTTTCTAAAACACTTAAATTCTGTTTATCTAAAAGCTTAGTGTTCCTAAACCATCCCTCTCCACAACCACCAAACCAATAGTGGAATAGAAGAAAATTGACGTTGGGTTTTTTATTATTATTTTGTCCCCTTCTTCAGCCTGCCCCAGAAGTTAGCTAGTCTTTTGATGAGAATATTTGGAGACACTGCTTACATTTTTAAGATAAGCCAAATGGTGTAAGTCCAATTCCAGTGAATTCCAGTGTTGAACTAACACTGGAAGGTCTACATGTCATGCATAGAAAAGTAATTTGCTTTTTCACATCATGCTGAACATAGGCACTGATGTCAAGTTTTTTATCTCAAATCCTCCAACACTGCTTCTTCCCCACTTTCCTTCTGCACATTAACACCTTTTCTCTCCCTTCTTATTCCCACTAAACATTGACTCTCTATTCTCTATCAATACCCCCAGACAAGTAAAACTACACCTCTCTTTTAGAAATTGTTCACTTCTGACTGTGCTTCCTGGTCCCCTATGTCTGAACACCGTTAATGCCATCTACTTGAAAATGTAGCCAGTCCTGGTTCTTCTTTCTTGTTTTAACCCCACTTTCTCCTTTTTTCTTTCCCTTCTCTTCTCCTCATCTCCTGAAATACCTATTCCTTCTTCCTCACAGCCCACTGCTGCCCACTAACTCTTCAACTCTTGCTTCTTTCTTGTCTTTACACAAGCTGACATCTGGATCTCCCAAGTTTGTGTTGTTTTAGCAACCGTTCTTTTTACAGCAAGTCCTCCTTCCCACTCCATTCTTGGCCACGCTACCCCTAACAGAAGTGAGGGAGCTCTTGAACTTCTGTCCTGCTGCTGTCATCCAGACCTTCCTCTCCCTTCTCAATCATTTTAAAAGTCTAGAGGGGCAGACAGAAAAAGGCAGTCTATATATCCTAATTCATACCTTGCAATACAGGATTGCTCCGGCACAACAACAAGCTCTGTGAAGTGTAGAGGGTATGAGAGTGCTGATATCTGCCCAGATGAAAGGTAGAATACATCCAGAGCTGGCATCATAAACGCCTGACTGCTTCTCCTTAGCACTTATTGTCATCAGAATTTACTCTAGCATGTATGGTTGTAATGTTTCTTTCCTTTTTTTGGTTGGTTTTTTGTTTTTTTTTTTTTTTTTACAACTGGGGATATCGCATACTGATATTGCTGCTCTTTTTGTTGCTGTTGTTGGTTTTGTTTATATATTAGTTCTGTCTATACTAATTAATGTTTCTGGTGTTATGTCCTCTGGCGTAAAACAAATGTCCATAATGTTGTCTCTTTCCTTCAATATTCCTCATCTCCCCCTTGCAAAATATCCTGAATTTACACCATGGTTTTTCTTACATTGTAGCTCCCCCACAGTTTGTGGTGAGACCACGAGACCAGATTGTAGCCCAGGGTCGAACAGTGACTTTTCCATGTGAAACTAAAGGAAATCCCCAGCCAGCTGTTTTCTGGCAAAAAGAAGGAAGCCAGGTAAGTTATAAGCAGCCTATAAGTCTTTCAAGCGTTTCTAAATACTTATATTGTTAAATTTTTAGGAACATTATTTATAGTCCCTTTCACAGATTCTTCTAATCTTTCACAGGAATTTGTCTTTTAAACTATCACTATTCTCTACCGACATTTTCGTTGCTGGTTTTTTTAAATATTAATATTGTGAAGAACTCAAAGGCCATTTAAGTTGGTGAAACTTGTGCTAGGTGCTGCATAAATGTATAGAAAGCAACAGTATATGTCTTAAAGACTTTTCATTCTGAAGCCCTCAACAAACAGGTGGGCGAGACAAACATAGTAGATGAAAAAGGTATGACTCAATTTTTTAACTAATCAGAGTCAGTAATTACAGTTCACAACCTGTCTAGACATGATCAAGCAGATACACATCTAGCAAGCTGATTTGCATTGGCATAGTCTCATAGTGCATACAGATACAGGTTTTGAACACGCAGATGCTTTCTTCAGTAAAATTGTCTCAGGAAATTTCTGAATCTGGTTTTGGAAATATTTCCCTGATCCTTACTGTCATTTTTTGAAAGCAAAATTTCTGATGTAGCAGTCAATGTTGCCATCAGCCAATACTAACTTCTATAGCTTAATATTTGAATGGCATGCCATAACATTTTTTTACTGCTGTTGCTGTATTGGCACTATGTTACAGCAGAAGTCAGGCCTTCCCACTTTCAACATGAAGTTCATGTTAGTACGTTAAATTTGAACACTGTAAACTATGTGCCATATTCTCTTTTGCACCTGAGAAAAGATTAAAAGGGGCAAATAGATGCCCAAGGACAGTGCCTTCTGCAGCTCCCTGATGAAGCCTGTCATGGGTACGCCTGTCTATGTATCTATGCTACGTACCATTCCCCATTGGCTAAATGAGTCTTTTCAGAGCCCTGTGCTACTTTTTCTCATATGGCAATACACAAGTTAACTCAGGTATCCACACTGTGCTGTGCAGTGCAGATGTGCCTTTTGTCTAGTCTGGAGGCATTGTGTGTACCACCTCAGTTAAAAAGTGAAATAAGAACTGAACTGCAGAGCTCCTGCTCTGCCCCACCTGCTTCTGCTTCACCTTCTCATGAGGTCAGATAACTGGTCCAGAATGACAGGACCAAGGCTGACAGCATTTTGTGCTCTGTTGCATTTGTGGCTTACAAAGATACAGCACTATTACTTTATGAGTGTAAGCTTGTATGAGTGTAAGCTTAGTCTCCAGTGTGTTTCTTTCAGCGTATTATTCGGAGGACTTTCGACCTAACCTCCGTGGATCATATCATGGAAAAGCACAGTATTGTGAGTCCTCACTAAGGTGAAAATTGTTCCAAGGGGAAAGTAGAATAGCATATTGAAATTAAAGTAGGAAGTACTAATGTGCTAGCAAACATTTCAAAACCCTTCCTTGTAGAGCATTTTAATAACATGGTAATGTTTATGTAAAGTGAGCTTATAGTGTCACACTTGAATCTAATAAAGTGGACATCCATCATGCTGTAATAAAGAGAAGAGCTTCTAATTAAAGTAGGACATCATTTGCAGGATTAAAGTCATTTAGCGTAATTGAAAAGTGTTAATACTCTATTTTATCCTCTTCCATTGGTATCACTTCAAGGGTAAAAACATTTTAAGGTGAAAATGCATCTTGTGTCTTTAATTGAATGTTATTACCTACTGATTGTACCATGTTGAAGCTGTTTAATTACAAACCTGGAAAATTAATTACCATATTGGGAACTAGGTCCCTGAGGGTTAGAATGGTGTTTTTTGGCAAATAAATGCAACATAAAAGTTGATACCTACATGGTTTGTAATCAAACCTTGAAACATAGCTCAATGTGATTCACTACACCCTCATGTTAATCTTAATTGAGCATCAGTGAAGTAGCACAGGTTAGTGTTACCGTCTCAGTGTACAACTTGCCAGATTTTGCAATGAGACGCCATAGAATGGCTGAGTTTCCACATACCGTATATCATCACACAAATCTGAAAGACATTATTTTGGCCAAATTAGGTGTTGCCCACTGAACATACATGACTTTGCACCCTTGCGTGCCTGGCTATAAGTTGTTGCTTGGCTTTACAATGCTTGTTTCTGCTTTTATTCGAGGAACTGTTTGCAGCACCACTGTTAGTGTTCAGAGTGATGTTGTGTAGTCATGTTAGCCCACTCCAGTAATTGTAGGGCATTTTTCATTGTGAATCCACTTCTCAATCTTGTGTTTCTGAGCACAGCCAGCTGGAAGGGAGGGGAGCTGTTCCCTCCTGAGTCATTTTTTGTGCCAACTTGTGCATAAACAGCTGGTCCTTTGTACTCGGTAGCCTTTTCCCCAGAGCCTAACAGCCACCCGCCAATGAAATGCACCAGGGCAGGGTGTGTGTAACCTTTAGACTCTCCAGATTAAATTCTTCCCTGAGATAAATTCAGCTGTATTACATGAGGGATGACCCCGGTCCCCCTGTTTGCAAGCCAGCATATGACCATTGTGCCCAGATGAGCAACCCGACAGCTAATTAAAACCAGTGAAATTGTAAAAACATTTTAAAAGGGGTTGTACTGCGATTTAGGACAAGTTATAATTCTTAGTTACCTGGTCTCTTTAAAGACCAGAGGAGGAGTCATGAGACTGATGAGCTCCTCCAGAAGTGTGTAATATTCACTGAGATGTGGTACCTTTCAAGAACAGATAAGCCCATGCTGAAGATAAGAAGAAGGGTAGCCTCCCCTTTCTAATGCAGTGATGAGGAAGATTCTGGATCTTAAGAATTCCTCTTAAGAATTAGGAGCTTGATCCTTGCACTGTCTCTTACGTTGTGTTTCTTTTTACACTTTGCATAATGAGTGATAAATGGAGTCAAGCTCAGCCATATCAAAATTCTCTGCTTTCTCATAAAATTTAGTGGAGTTTTCATAATACCCTCATTCAGTAGGTATCTGTGCCAGGCAGAGATTATTCTGAAAGTTTCAAGGAAATTCAGAAAACAGGGCAATTTTTCGAGACCCGCTGAGGCCTGTAGCCTGAAATTGTTTCAGAATTTTCACACTTTTTTTCTGATTGGATCTTTGGATGGGACATTTACTGGGTGCATACTGATTTTTGAGGAAAAATTTGCTGTGAAAAATTTCTTGACATTGAAATGAGGTAAGAGGAAAGACTCAACCTAGGGTGACACATAGTCTAGTAGGTTAATACAATTATAAGGACACCTGGAGTGTCGGATCTTATTTAAAGCATAAGTCTCTTATTGCCAAAACCAGAGAGATAAAGGTGTGAGTTTCACTTCAAACCAGAAATTTTTAAAATAAAAATTTGTTGTTTGTGAGTTCCAAATAATTTTTTTTAAACCATTAAGGTCTACTGCAGAAGAAGCAGATCTACAGAGAATTCATTTAATACCCTACCCTATACTTTTAGATTTTCTTTTTAGCCCATACAGAAAAGCTTAAAAGTTAGTAGGGCCTAGTCATCATTAGAAAGCACAGCAGAACTATATACAGTAATGACTGAAAGCTTATCACAGCAAGGTAACAGTGTGTTAGGATATTCCTAATACAAACAATTGTATTTTTCAGAGAGGCTTGTTGAGTTGACATAAAAGCCAGACTGGAATTACTGTTGTTTAATTATCGTTTAATCTATTTCCCTTTCTATCTCATTGGGCAATGCCACTGACCTTTCTGTTCACATTGCCTCCCTTTTCCTGTTCTTTTTTATTCACATCAAGAGCTGTGCCAGACTGTATAACTTCTTCTGTGAAAACATAGCCCTCACCACTAAAAGCTTTTCCGTCCTTTTCTGTATTATTGATTCATTCAGTCCTTCATCATATGCAATGACTGCTACATCCATTCCAGTTATTCTTATTGACATCTCTCTTTTCTCCAATCCAGCCCAAAGGCAAAAGCTAATCTCCCTGTTTTGTGCTAACTGATGTCTTATCCTACATAAGGTTATTTTTTTCTCTCTGATGATTTCTACATCAGATTTATACCCTTTCTATTCACCCTCAAGGCTCCATGCTGCTTTCCTCCTTTGGTGTATCTCAGTTTTAATTTCCTTATACTTCTCCTTTAAGATCTCATGCTCTGCCAGCTTCTCCTACTTTATGACCGGTTTGTACCTTCCTCACAGCTTTCCTTCTGTGCCACACTCTTACTTTCTCCTTTGCCCAGAACATATTCACAGCCAAACAATAGTGCCATGCTCCCTCAAGTCTCCAGGATTCAATTCTTTCTGCTAGTTTTCTAATGTTTACTGTAGCATTGTGTCCTCCTGGTTTGACAGCCAACTAAGTATATTATTACAATTAAATTCAGCATGAAGATGAATGTGTCACAAATACAAATCACTCAAGTGTGACTGTTGGAAAATTTCTCCTTGCCTAGTCCCCCAGCCAGAACACACCACTGTGCACTGTCAAAGGGCTGTTTCTAATTTAAACTGCAAGTTGCCCAAGGCAGGGAAAGCTGTCTCTATATGCTCATAAAGTCATAACCACACTTACTTTTTTTTCTAGTTTATACATAGTACTTCTAAGGAAAAATCATTGTTTCTCTAGCTGAGGGAAAAGTGATGCTTTTGAGTTTTGAATTGATGTGAGACAAATTGTCTTTGCAGAATCTACTCTTCCCAAATCAGCCTCTCCAACCCAACAGCAGGTATTCAGTGTCACCAACGGGAGACCTCACTATTACCAACATTCAGCGGTCTGATGCAGGCTACTACATTTGTCAAGCACTGACAGTTGCTGGAAGCATTTTAGCAAAGGCTCAGCTGGAGGTTACTGATGGTGAGCTATAGAAATTCCTATTGTTTTTTTCTGTCAAAAGTATTTTAAAAGCAGTGTAAATAAAGGCATATGAGATCACATAATTCAAACTAGTAAACAGACAAGTTTCTACAGAAAATACAATGAAAAAAAGGGTCTCTGTGCAATTCTCTGTGGTATCAAAAAGGCATCAAAATCTAGTTTGCTTTTTGCTTGCTTTCTGGAGGTTCCTTAATAATATAAACAAGGACAAACCAGCTTGGAATAGGGTTGGTGAGAAAGAAATCATATCGGTTCGCTAGAGCTAAGATAGAACTGCAAAAAACATTGTGAAGAATGAATAGGCTTGTGATTAAAGCAGTGAACTAGGGTGCAGAAAAATCAGGCTCAATTCCCACCTCAATCCCAGTCTTCAGTACTATCTTAGGCAGCTAGTTTGGGGATGTGTCCTTAGCTCAATTAAATCAACACAGTTGCCTTGCACTTCCTAGAGTACTGTTGGTTTAGAACAGCTACAACCTGTAACCCTTTAGTCCCCGTGGCAACAAGGCACCAAGCTATTCCTTACCTCAGAGCTACGTTCTAAGAATTTCTCAGTATGGTTAGATGTGAAAAGAGACATTTGAATACATAGGTAGGGTTTTCAGGAAAGGAAAAGCAAAGCACTACATGATCTGTCTTGATGCTTACCGTTTCAAAATTTGGGGGTTGAAAGTTATCCTGCCTTGAAGTTTACCTTACTCCATCCACAAGCATGAATCCTTTTCATATGTCAGGAATCCTGTTGATATCCCTCTTCATCCTGTTGTGGATAGAAGGCAGTTTGCATCCTTTAACGTTAGTAAAGAAAACAACAGAATTCCTCTTATACTAGGAGATTGTTGCATTCCCTGGCATCGTTATTCCTTATCTTAACTGACTCATTAAATATCTCCTGACAGACTTTGATGAATTTTTGCCATTAAAACTGTTGTTATATGCAGAGGTCTACTTTTACTGTTCCCTTAGAGACCTGCCTGCACCATGGAAGTTTGAAAAGATGTCTAATTCTGAATAATCTGGCTTTTCACAAGAGCATATTCATCACAAGTGACAGGTAGAGAGGTTCAGGCTCATGTTATAGAGGTTTGAGCATTAATTTGATGTCTTTTCTTTGTTTTCCAAAAGCTGTCTATATTTTTATGACAAGGGGAGATAATTTCTGCCTTATCCTTGCATCTTTACAAGCACATTGCTTTTCTGTAAAGTAGTTTCTGGAGACTAAAGGCTAACCTTTGCTCTGCAGTCTCTTTAAGTCCTTTCTCTCGTGGTCTATGACAAAATGATGCATTTTCATTCAATTCAAATTTAAATGTAGATTAAAAGGTCATTTAAAATTAATGGAAAGGCAGTATTTTTTAATATCTGTCCATAGCGCTGCCTGATTCAGTGCCATGACTGTGATTGGAATAAATAGAACACACAAACATTGGCTAAGAGAACATTGAGCTGTTAATGGTTGCACCTGCTGATGCTGTACAGATTTACTGCAACAGGGGCCGAGAGGATCAAGTCAGGTTCAAGGATGTTAGTGATGAGAAATTCTTCCTTTTGACAGACAAGGCCTGTGGTCCATCTTTGTCTATTTCTTGTGTGGGGTAAAAAATAATAAATCCTAATGACCTCTTTGGAATTTTCGTTAGTTTATTTAATAAGTCAACAGAAAGCTCACAAAGGTGTCCCTGCTAAAATGCAAACTCAACTACAATTAATTGTGATTAAAGGCAGTGTGCATTCCACATTGCTGGAGAAAGCATTAGCTGGTGGCTTTGGTGCTCAAGGAATGCAAGGCCTGCGTTCTTCAAATGCTTTCCAGAACCCACTGTCAGCATGATCATTATGAAATAATACAAAGTTGCTTTATAGAAATACCATTTCATCCTTGAGTCAAAGGGCAGGTGAGGTCAGGAGAAAAGTGCCAGAACAATACTGTGGAACTGAGATTATATAAATAAATGTACCACTAGATCACAGATATGTTTTTAATTGCTTTCAGTTAGGAAGTTAACCATAAATGTCTAAATAATCTTTTTTGGTTGATGCTGAGCAGAAGTTATGGAAGCTAATGATTTTTATCAGTAGGGAAATCTAATTTAATGGGTTTAAAAATATAATAAAAGATAAACACTGTGCATGCTAGCTATATACTTAAGCATTAGTGTTCTAGTTTTTGGCTGGTGATTTCAGTTTTATTTCACAGCCCAGAATTTTTCTGTTTGGTTAATGATTTAATAATAGTGGCGAGCCATCTTTTTCATTTTGAACACATTTTTGTTTGATCCAGAGTAATTTAGATCCAATTGAAGTTCTAATACAGAATGAAAACATATGTCATGTGCAGAAAAACAAGTGCTTAATTATACCATATATAGCAGTGTTTCAGTTGTTACATTTTTGCACTTACAAGTCTTTACTGGAAATATTTTTAACTCAAGTGTTCACATGAGAAGAGATTACTAGCTGTGATGAAATGTGCTGAGTTGAGTGATAATTTTGCTGATTATGGACTGTGCTAAGAGCCTTCAGTGTATTTGAAATTCAAATCTTGTATTTTCTTGAAAGGCTATCATATAATCCACCACCTAACACACATCTGGAAAAGCAAAATAATTTTAAAAATTGAGACAATCTTAGCAATCCTTTCAAACTCAAGAAGTGAATACGCAGCTCACAGTCTTAAAATGACAGATCATGCAAATAAACCAAATGCTTCCATCTAACTATGTCTCCGCTCAAGATAAGAAAAATAGTTTACAATTAGTAATTTATTCCATAAATTATCCTTCATGCACAGAGTATTTTTGAGAAGATCTCAGTTTTCCCTAATCTAGTCATTGTTTATATTTATTAATAAAAATTTCGACCACTGCATGCTTAACTGTAGGATCAGCCTACCAATGCTAGTTTACCCCACAGCTGAGGTTTAGGGTGAGTATTGGAATGGAGGAGCAAGCTTAACCTGCCCCAGTGGATAGCAACATAAGAATGAAATGGTTTAGGATACTAAATTAATTAAAAAGATCACATTTAGGGGCTTTTGAATGAAAGCAAGAGGCTGGACCTACAAGGAGAATTCAGAACAGATGTCAAAAAAAAAAAAAAAAAAAAAAAAAGAGAAAAGGAGTTGGCAGCGTACCTCAACAGCTCCCTCTCCACTGATTTGGAATAGACACTTAAGGCATTTTTCCCAAACTCCTCTGCAATTTTTTTACTATAGGTCTATTGAATATTCTGGGATAAGTCTCTCTAAAATCCTTATGGAAGAATTTAATGTCACTCACAGTTTACACATCTGCAAACCTGGCAACCATGTCCCTGATCAACTGTATATTACAAGTTTTGTAGCAAGTGTGACAGTTTCAAACAGGAGAGATTCAGAACAACTTCACAGCCCCCTGTGAAGCTCTTCCACAGAAAGGGCAGAGGAAGGGTTGGTCTCTGCTTTTCCACCTCTCAGGAGAGCACCCTGCCGTATCATGCTAGTGCTCATCATGAGAATTTCGTGACTTGCGTCTGATTTTCCCCATTAATTCACCAGAAAAACTTTTGAAATGTTGATTTTGGAAGTGCCAAAGTAAAGACTTCATTTTCCCATTCTCTTATTTTAATTTCCTGTTGTAATTTGACCAAATTCCAGCCAAATTTAAACATGGTTTCAGTTGATCCAAATTGCATTTCTAGTGAATAAACTGTTCATTAATGAATACAATTTGTTCTTTTCTGATAGTCTGCTCAAAATTTAAGCTGCATTTTATCACAAAAGGGATCTGATAATTTTTCAGTTACCAGACTATGTGAATATATGTTTGCTGACAAATAGTTTCAAAACCTTTTATTTTAATTAAATTAATTTTAAAATTAACTTCTCTTTTACTATGAAAATATATTTTAGCCACACAAAATGATTCTGTAGAATGGATATAAAAGTTTCCTGCTAGGAGAGAACAATGTAAAATGTAAATAGAAACCTAAAATATTGTAAAGGAAACTACAAAACCCCCAACCTTTTTGTACATATATTTCATTATCTCTCTGTTCTTCAGAATGCTTATGACATATCTTTTTAAACCTCTAACTGAGTTTTGAATCCTTGTACAGGAGACCTATGTAGTAGGAATACAAGCACGTATACACGTTTTAGAGAAGATTTACAAGTCATAGTTGCGAAGACAATACAGTCGTTCACAGATCAGTGGAAACCCTAAGTGTTCATTTAACCTTTAGCCTTAGTGTCATGGAAACCTGTAGTGGTCTTTCACCCATAACACCCTTGAAAATGAAGATTCCTTCTGGCCAGGAGACTTTCAATTACACTATTGATCAGAGCTATTTAAAGGATTATGAGCTCCTCATTTGGGCTGTAAAAAAACTAATTACATGCCAAAGAACAATATCTGCAATGCAGTAGGTTTTGAAAATACCTACATTGCTACACATATGAAAGGCAATTAGATGCAGTAAATAACTGCAATGGAATAGTGAGCAACTTAAGTAATTCTTTTTACTTAATTTTTAGCTACCTAGAAAATGGGCATTTACTAGTTTATGTTAAATCTAAATGAAAAATTACACAGCTAAGTTTTCATTTGAATATACTTGTGCTGCAGGTATGCTGATAGTACATATGAGCTGAGACCAATTTTTATTTCACCAAATGGCTGAACTGTGTAGTTATAAGGAACCTTAATGAGATCAAAAAATTAATATTAAGGTGAAAATGCATTAAATTGTCTCTTTTCTTGTAATATAGTGTTTTCTGTCCTATCTCTGTGTCCAGTGGGTGATATTTCAGAATTTCCAAAATAGCTTTCACGTTCTGGTATTAATACATAATCTGTATTGGCTTTCTGTTTTCAGTTTCAATTTCAATAAATGTGACAAACTCACACTCCAAGGTGCTACTAATACTAATGATTTTAGTACTGTCCTTTCTGTATCTTGTTAACAAAAGAAGGTAGTTAGTATTTTTGTAACATTACAATTTCAGAAACAATTATTTTAGGTATAAAATGTACCACTAACATCTCCCTATTATTTTTTATTTATTAAATAACATAATGAAAGCACTTTGGATCTGTTGAAGGTTCCAGAGGTTTGCATCTCAAACAGCTCAAATACAACAGAAACCATATTGCTTCACAATTTTTTTCCACTTCATTGTTAGAGTCAGGTGTTGTGTATGGACTATAATGAACCAGATTCTCAGCTATAGAATAAATGATGCAAACTCAATTGACATCAGTGGAGGCAGGCTAACTTACTAACTAATCCTGCCTGTTACAATATTTAGTACCAATCATATAATTGTTCAGTTGTTCAAAGATTTAAAACAGCAGCAGTGTGGCAGGGAAATATATAAAAATGAATTCTTAGTTCTGTTACACTGATTATGCAGGAGTCATAGCCTTGTTTATATTAAGGATTTCACATTCATTTTGTATAAACACATTCTTTAGAAACAGAGTTATATTTTGCTGCTTAACAGATGGCTCCCAGAACAGGTTCAACAGCAGAATTATTTATGAAAAATTGGTCTTTCAAGAAACATGAGCATTTTACCTCAACTTCAAGATGTCCCCCTGGTCATGGAATGAGGTTCACTGGTTACAGAGTCCTTTAAGCAGTATTTCAAGCATGCAAATGCAAATCATTTGGGGAAAAAAATTAAGAGAGTCCATGGCTTTAAAAGGTGATGAAATTATTTGATAAGTAAGCTGTTAAATGGCTTGATTGAGTTTGAATGTCTCTCCACTGGAAGGAGTGGTACAGTCATTTAGGTCATTCAGATTATGAAAATGTTTTGTATTATTGTTAGATATTTTTGCTGATGAAAACTTGCAAGTTAAGCATGAATGGGGGATGTGGTTGGTACTCATGCTAGAATGGCTACCGTGTTTTGCTTTGAACTTTAACAGATTTTCTCTTTTAGGCCCTAAATCAGGTAAGCAATCAAGAACATTTTGATGAGGCATTAAATGTGCTTTAAGTGCTTTCCTAAATTGGAAGAAATAAGAGATGTAACTCAGTTCTTTTCTGGATCAAGGTCTTAATTTTCATCCTGTCTTAATCAAATGAGTCTGATGATCGTTGCTAACAGAAGTTTATATATCTAGGTGTTATCTCGCAGTGGTGAAATAAAATTCTTACAAAAATGCTTTTCAAAGATACCAGTTAATTGTTAACATGTATCTGTGGGTCTTCCAAAAATAGTGTTTTTAACCTTTTACAGGCTAACTTAAACCAGTCTCTTAAAATTGGTACTGTGTCAAGGAAAGGGCTAACTGCAGCAGAGGATCGTTAAAGGTGTGAATGCCAATGCATGTGTCACTGTTTAGTCTTGACAGATAGGCCTCCACCCATCATCCTCCAGGGGCCGGTCAATCAGACACTGGCAGTGGATGGGACAGCTTTGCTGAAGTGCAAGGCAACCGGGGACCCCCTTCCTGTCATCAGCTGGTTAAAAGAAGGATTCACCTTCCTGGGCAGAGACCCTCGAACATCCATACAGGATCAGGGGACGCTTCAGATTAAAACTCTGCGGGTGAGTAGTGATAACAAAACAAGTGCTACAAGTGGTACGTGTCAAGTCTTGAGCTGTTGGTGTGTGTCCCAAGCAGCTCTGCTGTCTTGCTGTCCGTTGTCTTCAAAATTAATTTAATTGTCTCTTTTACTATGAAATTCTCACCAAGTCCACATCCTATTTCATGCTTTGACATTGTGTAGGTAAGCGGGGGGGAAGAAGAGCCAAACTAGCATCACATATTTCTATTAGAATTCCCTAAAAATAGAACTGATATTTAAAATCTTAAGTATGTTTCAGTAAAACACATGAGTTGCATATGGGTAGACATGTAAAAGGACAGGCCTTCCTTATCTTTTCAGTTGGCCTTACCATGAAGCCATTGGCCTGTTGTCTCCGTTAAAACTTAAAGCAGTTCATTTTCAACACCTGATCATAATTTTCCAAGGAGCTATTGTGCTAGCACGTGATTCTGGAGTTCATCAGGGTTTGGCCGTGCACTTTCTCCGTCAATGATTCTTGGCAGTCTTGAGCTGGCTGATTTATTCCAATGTTACGCTTGCTGGATATGCTCCATAAGGCTGCAGATGGGAGAAGACAACTAATACTGTAACATACATGCAGTCATATGCAGAGGGATTTCTATTCAAAACTAAATGCCTATCATAATGTTTGCATTTTGACACAAGATAATACGATACCTTAAAAGTACAAAGAAATCTTATAATATTCCAAATAGAATAATGTCAGATTTTGTTAATAAACATTGCATCACTAATCTTTGTTTGGGCTTTTAATTTTTTCCCTGTTCAAAGTTAAAAATGAGTAGTTGTTTGTGTCTATGTGGACAAGCATGTATATGGAAGAATAGTAAGGTAAATGTAATTATTTGTCAAGAACTTAAAAACAATTTCAGAAACCATTTAATTTCATCAACAGTAATTTCTGCACTTAGCTTTGCCATCAAAAAAAATGTCAATAAACATAGCTAATGAGGACAAGACATAAAGTGCAGTTTTGTCTTCTGATACCTTCTCATCAGGGTTCGTAGATGAATTGTTAACTTCCTTGGAACAAAATGGAATTTATTAAAAAATTTATGCTAGCTTTCCTTGAGTAAACAATTTATCCTTCCTCCCTGGGCTGAAGGCAGGTTCAGGCCGTGAAGGTTAATGCATTTTTCCTGTAGAGCTGGATTAAAGAGTGCGCTTGAATAGTCAAGATTCCCCAGTAGTGTTAGAAAGCAGCAATTAAAGGTGGAAGCTTAGTGATTTCAAACAAACTTTCAGGCATCAATGATGGGCTTCTGTGGAGTGTCCATGAGGCAGAAGCTCCTGGGATACCTGTCTGCATGCAGCTATGCAAACAATGAAATTGGTTCTGAATCGTGCCAGCACATTAATCTCGCTGTTAGAGGCACAAGGTCTGTAAACAAAAGGAAAAAAAATTGCTTGCAAGGGGAGAAGAAAACAGTATTAGCAGTGAGTGTGGTTTTGAAAGACATGAAGCTTTTATTGATCCTTAAGTGGCTCATTCACTAGTAACCAATTTTCCTTAAAGGCTCAGAAAGACTTTTTTTTAAAAAAAACCCTTGATTGCAGCAGTGTGCACTGTTTGACAGACACTTAAGAACAGAAAACACACACAACCATAAAAAACAGATTTCTCCTGTAGCTTGCAATTTTTATGAATTAAATATGGATTTAAATCTGGAATGTTTAACTTTTGTCTCAGGTCTACCTTAGCAAGGGCTACCAATGCTTCCTAAGCAAAAAATGGCCACGAAATATGTCCAAGTACACTTACATACCCAAGTTCAAAACAAATTAATACTTATCACCCACATGTCCTCAGCCTTCTCCTCCCCTCACAAATAATAATCACTATTGCAATCATAAAAAATTTCAAGATATGGGTACAGATGAGCCACTACTATTTAAACCTTTGAGCCCATCCTTTTCTGCTGTGTAACTCTTTCTGTGTGTAAATCAAATTATTCAGGAGTCTGCAGCAGTCACAGTGAACCATGGGCCACAGTCATAAGCATGAACCTAGAGATTTTTCCAATAAGCCAATCTTCCCGGTTGCTCTGAGGAAGACAAATAAAAGCTTATATACATCACACGCACTCAGTACCCTTTCAGACAGGTCAGCACTGATGGAAAACTCCCTTCTGCTCCATAGAAGTGTACCACACCAGATTTAGACACCTGCATTAACTATGGAAGAAAACTGTTTGTTTTACTGAATAGCAAAGATTTTCCATTCACCTCCCATGTTGTTTTTTCCACAGCACAAAAAAAGTATGAATAATTGAATTATCGATACACTATGACTGTATCTAATCCATCCACAGTCTGGAAGTTAGATAATTCACCATAACTTGCAAGAGGCAGCATATCTCCAGCTTGCTTTATATGTTGAGTTTGCCTTCTGCAAGTTACTCTGTTGTGTATACCACATACTTCATTGAGTATGCCATACACCATCTGTCACAGTAGTACACAAATGAAGTTGAGAACCATAGCCTTGAGAAATATTCTCCATTATCACATAATGAAGAATTATATATTTAATAAAAGCTTGGAAGGAGCAAAATAAAACACTACTTCAGAATGCAATAAGGCACTCTCCTCTGGAAAATCTCTCTCCTTTCAAGAGTCTTTCTCATTTCGTTACCAGTACCTCTATATTTTGAGTCTCTGAGGCATTGTCAGAGGGGTTTAATTATTGCTTCTATTTCATGGCAAAGGCACCCCCTAAAATGCAAGTCATACTCATTCAGACTATTGAACTGGCATTAATCAGTTTCTTCCTGCCCCTAAGAATGGTAGACTGCAGTCCCAGTATATCTGAAGAAAATACCAACAAAATTCAAACATGACAAAGTTAAAAATCAATTCAATTATATATCAACAAGTAATCTAAAGAGCATCTCACTTATTTGCCTTGACATTCTTCTTGAAGAGTGAGGCTTAAGCACTTTTGCTATAGTGCCAATCTGCATTTAGCAGAACCCATTACAATTCCTTAAAGTCCAATAAAGATTCTTGGATGCAGTCCTATTTCCGTCAAGTCATCTGATGGTGAATATAATTCTTCTTTTTTTATCACTAGAGTCAGCACTCTCCTTCTGCTTCCATCCAGATTACCATGCTTTTTACATAGTGGTAAGAGGGCTCCTCTGTATATTTTGTGCTTTGTAAAGTTACCATTTTCCACCCATCCCTGTAGTCTTCACTAGTTCCTGTCTCAGAAATCTTTAAGTAAGTAATAGCAAAACACTTGGCAAATTTTCCAGCAGAACAATTTATACAGCAATGAGCTTAATGTTGACAATATCATTCAAAATGGTTTCCCCAAATAAATTTGAAATATATGAACTGACAAGGGAATCACAACATTTTTATACAAATGCATTGTTTTTGCTACCAAAGTGCCTTGCAAGCCTGAAATAAAATCCTATGTGAATCAGAAGAAAGGTAAGCATGGTGTAGGATCTGATTTAACTTTGCTATTTGCAAATGGCTTGGAGGACTGTCTGTGTAGAGACAACCACTGTTAAGTCTCAGCAACAGTATTTGTATGTGTGGTGGCCTGTACAGAAATGACTTCATCTGCCATAAGAGTCTAAGATGATGTAACAGCTTTCGTGGCACTGGAAATGGTATCTCTGGGTCATCACAGGATAATAAACAGTGCGATTTTATCTTCTAAGAAGTTAATTGTTGTTATATTGTTAGCTGATTTCACCTGCATTTGTTGTAACCAATACAAAGATTGACACTGTCTAAAACATCCATTCCGTCGCACTTACATGCTGTACTGGTACCATTAACAATATGAAAATGAGAATTAAAAAAATATTAGAAGCAAGTAATCTTAATACAGTTCTCTAAAAGTAAGCCACCATTAAATGATTGATTGAAAATATCCAGTGCCCTCTAGTCTGGTGTAAAATGTAGGCTAAGTCCTTCTTACCAAGACACATTTAGAAAAAGAAAATTAGAGTAAATTCTGTCAGCTGATTCTAAAAGGTTGTTAAAAATGCCCTTAACTGTTTTTTATGCCTAGCTGTCTGATACTGGAACTTACACTTGTGTTGCTACAAGTTCCAGTGGGGAGACATCTTGGAGTGCAGTGCTAGAGGTGACAGGTAAGCAATGTCCAGGGGCTATTTTTCAGTTGGCACAAAATTAAAGTGTAGACTATATTAGAGCAGTCTGAGTCAAATAATCTATTTTAGAAATTCTGGGATTGAGATGGAGAAGCTTTAGGTGGGAAGGCTGGGTTCCTTCACACGCCTTGCGTTTCATTGCTGTTATCTTTAAATGCCCATTGACGTTGCAACGATTTGTATTTGTCTCCAGCAACAACGGTATGCTGTAACTCTTCTAAACAGAAGTGTTAATAAACTGTGGATTCATCCAGTAATTGGTTTGGGCAAGAAAACTGTTATGCCCACACAGAGTCCTATCAAAGTCCAATGTGCTCTCCCTGAGTACTGGAGTTGGTCTGGATACAGGAACTTTCTCAGCCTTCTAGTAACAGAGGTTTTGACATTTTATGTAAATTTCAGCAAAGCTGGGCTTTTTTGTTATTCTTTCTTTTCTTTTTTTATGTATTTTTGTATAACCTTCTGAGTTTTGTGGTTTTTTTCTTTCAGTATATACCTAAAGAATGATAGCTCTTCATCCAAAAATATACATGGTAATGCAATTGTTGACTTAGTTCGTTACAGATTAAGAACACTGGTTATGCTGATTTTGCAGATGTTTGGCATGTTTTGCCTTTTAATCTACTATTTTGATCAAAATTATACAATCAAGGATAAAAAGTAATTGTTTTGTGTTTGCCCCTTACAGAATCTGGTGGAGCAACAGTCAGTAAAAATTATGATATAAATGACCTCCCTGGGCCACCATCCAAACCTCAGGTCACTGATGTTACTAAGAACAGTGTCACCCTGTCCTGGCAACCAGGGACCCCTGGAAGCCTACCAGCTAGTGCATATATCATTGAGGCTTTTAGGTATGTGAATTATTCCACTTTTAATCTTCTTTTCTAATTTTGCTTAAACCCTGGTACCAGCTGTTCTCCTGGTATTGTGGTGTTCTTTTGGACTCTACATGTATCATTAGAAGTTCATTAAAAGACTCAACTCCTATGGCAGGCATTGATTCTTATTTTTTAAATTGATTTTTTTTTCCAATTTGTCACTTTTTTCCAAGTGATTAATTACAGGAGCACCTAACTATTTCTTCAGATCAACAGGGATATAACAGGACAACGCCATCATTATTTGTTACTTTTCCCTTAGCATTGATGATCAGTGAGAGTCTCCTGTGTGAATGCTGCAGGTCAAATCAGTTGGGCCAGTGTTATCTTGGCTATCATAGTACAAATAATCTGAAAATAAATAGATAATCCTGAAGCCTTTCTGCATACTTTAATTCCTATTCTTGTTAAAGCAGCACCTATTAAAGAGTCAAAGCACTTTAAATTTACATTTTTTACTGGTTTGCCCTGGTTTCAGCTGGGATAGAGTTAATTTTCTTCC